CCGCACCCGCCCGTACCCGCCATAATTAAACCCCTATCCGAACCGTTATCCGACAGAAATAAAATAAAATTCTGCACCCGATCCGCTAGCTATAAATAAATACCGACTCCCGACCCGTACCCGAATGAAAATCAGTCAGATTAAAAATTAAAGACAAAAGTTTATTGGCACAACAAACGACCAGTGACATGTGCAACATCAGTTGAAAAGGCATAGCCAAATGTAAATGTTGCTTAATAACAGCCCAATAATAAGCAAAACAAATGGTAGTAGCTTAACCTCTAAACTCAAATAATGTTTGATATTGCCATGCCCACACATAGCCTTACCAGCTTGCAATTAAATGTGTTAATAAAACTAATATTATATAAAATGTACATTAGGCTACCCTGCACAGTATTGGGTTTTATAGGATACCTACGTGCACTGTCCATTTTCCTTTGATTACCCGATTGGAATTCCTACGCGAAAGCGAAGACTAGCGTTTGGTGCGGTGCTTTATATTACTGTGTAAAAAAAGGATATCGTCCACAGTTGATGGCCTCAGCTGACTACTTCAGCATCCATTTCGAACAACTGGAGGAGATCGCATGCGTTTTTTTAAAATGAAAGTGGGAGAGATTTCCGGGAATGCGCGTGCAGGCATAAACTGATATGGATTTTACGTTTTATCATCTTAAATGCAGGGATTTTGTCACTAAAATATAGCCCTAGGGTATTTTTTTGTTGGCACATGATGTTTTGAAAACCTCAATTATAGCTCTCCTGCGTCCGACCCGAACCCGGATCCGACACAGTAGAATATTTTTCACCCGTTTCATCAAAATTTGCGGGTCATCCGTCGGGTACCCGAACCCATGCAGGACTCAGCCTAGCAGGACCTTTATGGGAGAGATGGTCATACTAATATAGATGGAGTTATGACACTAGTCTAGTTCTGTGTCTTGTTTTCTGCTTACCTATACAGTTTACAAAACCAAGCTGTGTTTTTAATATAAGATAAAACCAGTGAAGTTACTTGAAATGTTTTAATATTTTTTTCTATAATTCCAGATTTGCACAATAAATATTCTACTTTCATGACTACTTTGAAATGTGTTAACAGTTTATTAGACAACTTCCTGCTGCAATGCCTTTGCTATGGACATATATTACCCTTTCAAAAACAGTTATATTGAAATTTACAGATCAAATCATATACCGCAATATATACCGTCTACCATCTATGGTTCAAATTATACCGCAATATTAATTTTATGCCATATCGAACAGTCCTAGGGTGACATATATATCGCTTAGGGGCTGGTTGACCTAATTTGTCGGATTTCCTTCCGTTTCTCTCGTTTGAATGTTGTGAAATCTATCACCTATTTAAATACCTTTTTAAAACGCTTAATGTGACGGAACTTAAAACCGCCGCTGTTTCCACCGCCATCTTATGTCCCTGTAAAGTAGCCGCTGCCTCGGACGGATGTGACGCACGCTGTTTTCCTGCTGACTGATTTTTTTTCTAGTTGTGTAGGAGGAGGTAGAGTGGAAAATGGCCGACGGTGTGGATCATATTGATATCTATGCGGATGTGGAAGAGGAATTTAATCAGGTAATATGTGTATGGTACCTTTTGTGTATGCCATGTATAACTGCAGTATCCCTTGTGCATGAAAAATAAACCGGCATTATGTAGACTATGTAAAGAATTCACGGAGGGGTCTGCGTTTTTGTTTGGGATCTCGATGAGTATGTATGTGCATTACAGCTAAGTCGACGTTGCAGGCGTAGTTGGTTGTTTTCAAGTTTTCTCGGTAATACCGCTTGAGCTTAGGGAGAGCTCATCATAAGAAACGTGGGGTTCTCCGGACGGCGCTACCTATGACAAAGCGGCGCATAAAAAGTGCACAGAGCCGTTCGGGCAAGCCGCGTCGCCCATTGTTTGTGTTGCGGGGCTCAGTGCGTGATGCACGGCCTGCACGCGCACCCGCTTTGCCAGGCTGCGCGCGGCTGTCTGTGACCACGCACCTCACTGGCGCCAAACGGGGCTCGTGCCAGTGGATCGTGAAGGCTGGTCTTTACAGCTACACTGCGTTTATATTCGGACAAGTTAAGTTATCACAGTAAAATAAGTAACACGTCGCTTTTAGTGGTGCGTAGCTGTCAGTAGAGGATGAGGCGGCCACACTTGTTCGAGGGTTATTTTTTCCTGTTGAACGTATATCTTTGAAGTTCACAGATTTATTCTGGGTTTTCGGTTGACATGTTACCAAGGACGTCCCAATATCTAACTCGCTTGGCCACCTAGGAAGGTTTTTAAATGGCAGTTCCCGAAATAACCACATAACTAATGACGTGACCATGCTGTGTTTTTTCCTAGTCAAAGTAGCGCTTCGTCATGTTTTCCCCCACATTTTTACTTTAGTGTAAAAATATTTCAGACTGAGAATTACATATAAAAGCTTAAGGGGGACTGTTTAGTTTGACATAAGGATTTAAGTGTGCTGTTTTTGGTTTAACTTACCAGAGAAGTAAATATTTGCTTCCACTATTGTAAATTAGTATAAAATTTATTTTTATAAGCTTATTGATGGAACAGTGATTAAAAAAATTCTCTTTTCACTACTGAATACCTAAGATATGTGTGGTAGCAAGCTTCCAAATAACAAAAGTTTTGCAGTTCTTTCTCATTCTGTTTTACCTTTTCAATGACTGAATGGGTTGGGTTCCTGTTATACCATTGGCAGTAATAAAGGCAAAGGTGCAGAGGTGTCATTTTGTTTACCATCTATTCTTGTCACTTAACTTCTGATGAATTTCTCTTTGATCGTATTTTGTTTACTTCTGATGATTGGCCATTTGGGTGCTGCTTTGTGTGTTATTTGTGTACCACGTTAGACAAAGTGGATGCAATTGGGGCATTGTGCAGCTCGGCTGGTTTAGAATATCCGCCCTTATCCACAAGGTTGTGGGTTCAAATACCATGGCCTCCAGGCCCTTAAACCCAGCTTTGCTAAGGGTGCTGGCTAACCCTGCTGTCACCTCAAGCCTTCCTCGCGTGTCCATCTCTTTGGACGAAAGCATCTTTTGAATAGATGTAATGTAGTGCAGTTGTGTCTTGGGAGCTGCTCTTGTTGTCCCCAGCATGCATATGTACAGATATGTATAAATAACAAGGATAGCCACAGACATGACTGCATTACATTACATATATATAAGGCTCCATGCTCTGGATTTGGAGCTTTGACCGTTCATTGAGAGTTATCTAGATTACAGGGTAGACTGCCATTGAGATGGGACAGCAGTGTCTGTGCCTGCCATCCAGCACTTAAATTGTATTCCAATGATTTACCTGTGATCAATGCCCCCGCCCCAGCCTTACTTAGCAGAGCAGAGCTTTGTCTACTTAAGGCTTGAGGGGTCATCTCACCCTGGAACAATTCTAATGCATGTCTCTGAAGAGTGCTGTTCCTTTGGTTTTAGCAGGAAGCAGAGTACAATGTTCACGAACAGATAGACCTATACGACGATGTCATCTCCCCGTCTGCCAACAACGGCGATGCTCCGGAAGACCGGGACTACCTAGACAACCTACCCCCAACTGTGGGGGGTGAAGGGGGCAAGGGCCCCCCTCCTAATGTGGTCTATACTTACACTGGGAAGAGAATTGCCCTATACATTGGAAACCTCACATGGGTAGGATTTTATTCCACACAGAAAGCACTGTATTGTCTATCCTCTGATAGGGTATTTTGATATCAACGGCTCTTGTCTTCTGTTGTAGTGGACAACTGATGAAGATTTGACTGATGCCATTCGTTCAGTGGGGATAAATGATTTGCTGGAGATTAAGTTTTTTGAAAACCGAGCTAATGGGCAGTCTAAAGGGTAATTCTACTTCCTTTTTATGGTAGGCTTGGAAAGTGTGAATCTGAATGTATTAGAGGCTGGGTTACGTTTATGGGTGTGTCAGGTTTAGGAGCTGAATCTGACCCTTTCCAGCTTTCACAGCTTTCTCTGAGAGATTCCGGGTGGACTGGCCTTTCCTGCAGAGGGTCTACAACACTTGTAGGCCTGATGTAATTTTTGTTCACCTCTTCCCTAGGTTTGCTCTAGTCTGTGTGGGATCCGAGGCCTCCTCAAGGAAACTGATGGACCTGCTGTCCAAACGAGAGCTCCACGGACAGAATCCTATTGTCACGCCTTGCAACAAACAGACCCTCAGCCAGTTTGAGATGCAGTCTCGGAAAAGTACGTTTGTAACTGACCAAGGGTATATCATGCTGCTGGAGCTTCGTGGTTCGGGAACTCCCCCCCCCCCCCCCGGTGTGTGATGTTAAAATTAGGCGCTTTCCCACCACAGGTACTTTTTTCAGGAAACGGGAACTTCTGTAGCTTTCCCACTGCTGGGGACACTGCCTGATTGTTGTTGTACTGAGGTAGTTCCTGAACCTTTTTTTAAACCCTACTACAGAGAAGGTAATTCTCCTTTGACAAAGAACTACTTGCTGGAACTTGTAGCGATAAGCTTTGCTGATTGAATGACCACAAGCACTGGCACTAACTCGGAAGTTATATGGAAGTGCTGAGAAAACCGAAGCAGTAGAGCAAAAATCGAGCAGGTGGAATTATTTTTTGTATCTCAGATTAAATGGATTAATGAATACCTCTCCATATTTCTGCATTGGAAAATTTGATTGATAACGAATATACTTCTGCATAATATAGCTGGTGCTGGCAGTGAAACTTGCCAGTGCTAATTAGCAGAATAACATTACATTGTTATGTATTCTATGGAAAATGAAAAATCGATCTGCTGGCCAGATTTAACAATGAATTATAAACGTGTGGCAGGCCGTATAAATAAAATAGTCGTGGAAAAATTGAAACTGCAATAATTTTGTTTTACTCGTTTTTCAATCAATGGGTGTGTGTGTGTGAATAATATATATATTTTTGGGGCTGTATAAATAAAATGCTATTTGTCCTGTATTTTTGGACCACCCAATCAATCCCCCCAATAACTAACAAAATGACTTTGTTCTCCATTGTTTTCGGGTGACGACTTGATTTCGTATGAAATTAAATGTGAAACTTGAGCTATGAGCTTTTTTTTCCCCCATGCTGATTTACCATAAAGGTCACCGATCCTGTTGTGCAGAGGGAAAGCAACACACGAAAGTGGGCAGGAGCTACAAAAGTTTCAAGTCAAGACAGCCCAGGAACTAGGTTCCTGAACTTTGCTGGGAAAGCGCCTTTAGCATTAGCTTCTCTCTCTGTCCCTCTGGGTGTGCTGTGCTGAAATCGATGGGATGCTCATTGAAATGATTAACTTTCTCCTTGACGTATCCAGGTACGCAGTCAGGGCAGATGTCCGGAGAGGGCAAGGCCGGCCCCCCAGGTATAGGGCCCCGTGGTGGATTTCCCCTGAGCAGAGGCCGGGGGCGCTTCCCCGGCATGCCTGGCCCGGGTGGAGACCGCTTCCCTGGGCCGGTGGGTCCCGGAGGGCCTCCCCCACATTTTCCAGGTAACTCTGCCCCCCAGCTCTGTCTTGTGAGTGTCCTGTCCTGCCTGCTAGTACCAGGCATTTCCTCAAATACATTTTGCAGACTATCTTTGGGATGGGATGGGGATGTTTGCCAGGATACTGACAGCCTGCCCATGTTTTGTGGTGAGATTTTTTTTTTTTTATCTCCCCTTTTTTGCTTGGCCTTTCAAGTAAAACGGTGGTTGACTGTAGTTGATTCTGTTGTGCTTTGTGATGACGCCTTCTGTCCCGTAGGCGTCAAAGCTGACATCTGTTGCAAATTAATTTTAGTTGCTTTCAGCAAGAGCGGGATCTGATCTGGTAACCCAGAGCTGAAATGCCTCATCTGCTGTTGCTGGGGCATCATTAAATCTGATACTATTTACTCCTCGCCCCCCCCGTGTTGTCCCAGGTGTGTCTGTTTTTAGTCTGAGGCTGGCACCATTCAGGCCACCCGGAAGGACTCAATGGTGCAATGGTGACACACTTAAACAAAGCGTGAAACTTCCGGTCACCTTTCATTGGCTGATGAGAACCTTTGGTGTAGGGGAACTGGATTGTAGGACTAGCGGCACATGCTGAATGTTCGCTTCCTGATGCCAGAGGCTGCTCCTCAGTGGCCGTCCTGCCCCCTGCAGACCACTTGTTCTGAATCCGCTTCAGTTTAATGCTCTGTAAAAATGGCTGTTTGGACCATGAATGGGAAGGTTTAAAAGTGTTGTGACTCTCAACAAATGCAAGCTGTACCTTCCCTTGTCAGATTTTTATGTGGCTTGTCTGTTTGAAAGCGTATGGAATTGATCATCTGGTTTTAATCTGCACTGTAATATATCTACGTACTTGTCAGCAGTTTCCTGAAACTACCAGCCAATGGTAAAATCTTTGCCAGGGAGACACTGCTTCTCGTGTAATTCCTTTAAGTCTTCTGATGAGACATTTTGGTTTTTGGCTGGTTTTGTGTAGTCAGGTGGTTAACCAGGGCCAGTATGCATGAAACTTCCTAAGAATGTTCTTAAGAATGGTCGTACACTTGGACTTAAGAGTAAAAAAAAAACAACTTAGCAAAAAGTAGGACCTAAGAGCATTGTATAAAGCTGCTAAAAGTAACTTTCAGCAAAGTCTAAGCCCAATTCCTAAGTGCTGACGGAGCCAGCATTTAAGTGTCGTGAAATGAGGACTACAAATAAAATCCCGCCCCAAATACTGAGTTTAACCAATAGAGGAGCTGCACGGTGAATATATTAGTGACATTAAACCGTTAATGTACAGCTTTATACAACATACCTTTCTGTGATCATACCTTTAATTGGTTGTACGAAAATCTGCCTAGCACACCACCAATCAATTTCCACTAATAGATGCACATGTTGTATAAATTATGGGTCAAACGCAAAACTCATAGCAAGACATTGGATGCTAAAAGAAAACCAAACTGGACGACAAGCAAAACGGTTCTTTTGGCACAGTTGGTGCTTAAATGGAAGGAGGTAGTGCGAGGAAAGTTTGGCCCAGCTGTTACAAGCACGGACAAAAAAACCTTAGGAGGCTATTGCAATCTCCGTAAATGCTGCGTCACCTCGGACAAGGTGTTCAGCAGAGGAATGTGAAAAAAGGTGGTATAATGTTTTATCAACCTCGCGAAAGGAAATCACAGTTTATAAAGCAAGCATGCAAGCTGCAGGTTTGTGTCATTACTTATTTTGCTCTTATGACCCTCGCTATAATAGATGATGATGATGATGAGAATAATAATAATAATAATAATAATAATAATTATTATTATATTTTTCCAGTTGCCAAAAACGTAGCCTCATTATCACCTTCAGTTCAACTGTATGTGCATTTTTAGGTGACGTAGGAGATTGTATCCGGTTCCTAATTAGGTTGGTAACAAAAAGAATGCCGTCCTGATCGAGCCTGTACCTTTTTATCGATTCATTATTGTCGTACATCTGCAGGACGTCCTTTCTTCGACGGAAAGAGCGTGGTCTTCGTCTGGGTGCGCGTAGTGCAGCTGCCATCATTCAACTCCTAACTGGCTTCGGAGTCCTCTCCAGCTCTCTCAAATAACTTGGGAGCTGAGACCAAGTCTTAACACTTAAGACTGTTTATGCATGCCACTTATTCTTAAGTCTGGGAGTAGGAGCAAAATCACGTCACTCTTAGAATTGTGACACATTTAAGAGTGAAATTTTACTTTGAGAAGTTTTATGCATACCGGCCCAGATTTTTTTTTTTGTAAATCTGAACCACCAAGAGGTTCTTTTGAGGCTAAAAGTTTCTGTTAGGTTACTGCTGATGTTTTTTTTTTATTCTCCTTAGCCTAACCTCAGATATCCTCTGGCTAATTTATTTATCTCTAAACTCTTAAGCTGTCAGCTTAGCAATATGTTTCAGGTTGTTCTAACACTTATCATAGCTCCACAGACACAACTGAATTACGTTGCGCAGAGTTCCCTCTGGCTGCATGTTTTCACTTCAGCTTTAGAATGGATGAGGCATTTCCCTTTCTGGAGGTTTGAGGCCCTTTCTTTACATACCTTGAACAGGAGCTGTTGACCACTCTCCCATTTTAATGTGGAATCCCTTTAAGTGAGCTTTGGGTGAGCGCTGCGGTTTCCTTTGTTCTGATGTGGAATCACAGGGACATGCCGCTGTGCTTCTATTTCAGGAGGCCTTCAAGGCCCACCACGACCTCCCCCAGGCCCACCAGGCCCCCCTGGTCCTCCCGGACCCCCTCCTCCAGGACAAGGTCTCCCACCACCCATCTCTGGTCCCCCGAGTCGGGGTGATCGTCCCCCTCCACCAGTGATGTTCCCTGGCCAGTTTGGCCAACCCCCCATGGGACCCATTCCTCCTGGCCCCCCACCCCCGGTGCCGGGGTATGGCCCCCCACCTGGTCCCCCTCCCCCACAGCAGGGACCTCCCCCACCTGGGCCTTTTCCTCCTCGCCCCATTGCTCCGCCCTTAACCCTGGCTCCCCCACCGCACATGCCTGGGCCCCCTCCTGGCGGCCCACCTCCAGCCCCCCACGTCAATCCTGCTTTCTTCCCTCCCCCGGGAAACAGCAACATGCCCTCTTCAGACAATCGCGGCCCCCCTCCCAACGACCCCTATGGGCGCCCGCCTCCCTATGACAGAGGGGACTACGGTCCTGCTGGCAGGTAAACCATCTCATCTCTAGCTGACTCTTCACGGTCTTAACTCTTTTCCATATTGCCTTCTTCCATTTTTTCATTTGTTCTTCCATTTTTTCCATCCATATACTTATAAAATCTGGATACAGTTTATACATATTTTTATCTTTACTGTTCATTATTCACTGCTTTGGAATCCTGGTGGTGTAGCTCATGGTTATTTGGCTGCATGCTGAGCGTTTTTAACTTTCCTTGGCTGTATTTCATGTCTTACGTACTTCACTGTATTATCCTGTAAAATTAAAATTTCCTGTTCTGAATATAACGGCATTTTATTCAGTTTGAAAATCCTGGGCCTCAAAGTCCTGTTTCTGTTTGTGTTTCTGTTTGTGTTTCTGTTTGTGTTTGTCTGCCTCCTCCAGTGCAAAACTCACACATGTCCCTGGTTTTCAAAATTATATCAGTCGCTTATATCTGCCCTGGGGTGGTTGGTTTGTACTCAAAACTGGTGTGGTTGGGGAATTATGGTGTGACCCAGACTCCCCCCCCCCCCCCCTTTCATGGTCACGTCAAAGCAACTCAGTTGGGGCATTTAGGGGTGGATGAAAACTGTTCTTCCAGTGAATGGTTCTGCTTTCATTACATCAAAATCATCAAATGCCAGAAATCTCCGTTTTGAGTGGACAGCATAACTCGCAGCAAAAAACAACCGTGTGTGTGCCCAGATTTAACAACCCCCCCCCCCATTCTTCCTCTCTTACACTGTCTGGATTTAATTTGTTTTGTACACTGGAGACACTGCACTAGTGACTGTTTCATGCTTAACACCCCCCACCCCTTTCTTTTTCTTAGAGAGATGGATGCTGCCCGGACCCCCCTCAGCGAGGCCGAGTTTGAGGAGATCATGAACCGAAACAGAGCCATCTCCAGCAGCGCCATCTCTAGGGCTGTCTCTGACGCCAGTGCAGGTAGGTGCTCTTTGCCCGTCTCCGCAGTTCCTAAGGCCTGCTCAATAATACCAGCTGGCTCTTGTTTTCACTGAGTGCCTTCTCAGACCCAGAAGGATCCCGGTTGATGCATCGTGCTGCAGCTCTTTTTGGTCTCCCCACAGGTGACTATGGCAGCGCCATCGAGACGCTGGTCACGGCCATCTCCCTCATTAAGCAGTCCAAGGTGTCGGCTGACGACCGCTGTAAAGTGCTCATCAGCTCCCTGCAGGACTGCCTGCACGGCATTGAGTCCAAGTCCTACGGCTCTGCCTCCAGGTAAAACCCGTCCAAGCCTGAGCCGTGTGCTCTAGTGCTGGGTAGCTCACTTTTTGATCAAATATTGTGTATTTGCTCTCCATTGTACTGGTGCTGTCATCAGTAGCTCTCTGTTAGCCTCTTAGCTACACGTGTGTATTGCTTATTTATAGCGGCTAATGTAGACCTGACGAATATCTTATCTGGGTAAATAATATATAGCCTTTCAAATGCAGACTGTATTCAGTTTGGTTTGGAACGGTCAACGGCTGTCAATTTGACATAGACGTATAAATCAGCCTTTAAATATGTGGAGGTATGAGCGTGGTCGTTGAGGGCTCCCACTTCTTCCCAGAAGACGGGAGAGGTCCAGGGAGAGGGACCACAGCCGCTCCAGGGAGAAGAGTCGGCGGCACAAATCGCGCAGCCGCGACCGGCATGAGGATTACTACCGCGAGCGCAGCCGGGAGCGCGAGAGGCACCGCGAGCGGGACAGGGACCGTGAGCGTGATCGGGACCGTGAGAGGGAGTACCGCCACCGCTAGCACAGGTGTGTATGCCGATCTTCTGCCCCCTGCTTCCTTTGTTATTGACCGCCTCTGTCCCACAGGAAAGGGGGGGTGCTCCCTGGGAGCTGCTGCAGGACACTGTGCGGTGTTCCTGGGGTGGCCGCAGGTAGGTCAGCACGGTGAGTAACTCTCTGTCACCGTTACCTTTATCTATTCATGAATGACTTTTATTTGTTGTATTGTCTAATAATTTGACACCATCTGCTTTTGTTCCTCTATTGTATGTGTATCACCCTGTCATAATGTAATTTTTACTTTTTTTAACCTACAAAGAACAGTACTCCCTTAAGTACACACATTGTATATCAAATGACATGGGAATGAGTTTAAAGCATAAAATTTGTAATGTTTTCATGCATTTGTTGAATTATTTCCAGTTTTTATTTTATTTTTGTTTTGTAAAATTGGGGGTGTTAATAAACGGTTGAAACAGGTTGTTAGACAGGTTGTGACTCTGTCACTGAGCACTGTTCTTCGTATGGCAGCCTTGCCATCCACATGCCGTTTGAGGTGTAAGGTGTAATCAGACCACAGTGTTTCCCTTCTAGCCAAAGCGTTTGTGTGCCTGTGTGTATGTTGGTGGAATGTTCCAAATTACGCTGTAACCTGGGGGTATCATATTCAAAAGACTGCAGAAAATTAGCTCATAAAAGCTTTGAGAGAAGCTAAAAATCAATTTTTCCAAGTTGTGTGCAACGGGACTGAAGGAATTCTAGGTTATTTTTTTCCTTTGGCAATTTTTGTTTTTCCAGTGTTAGTTGCCTATTTGTTATACTTACTTGTAGTATTCAAATTGATTCAAATTGTGTGAATGTTGGCAATAGTTTAAAAAAAAAATTATGTTTAACAGGGTGTTACCTCAGTGTGGACTGTAACTTCAGATTAATTGCCCCTTTGTCAGTTCACTGTTTCCCTGAATGTTTTCCTGCTTTTATCAGTCATGGGAGTTTGATGTCATGGACATAGTTATGTTTTGTTTAGTTTAACTGTCTTAATTTTTCAATCACAATTAAAATTTGTGAAGAATCATGTGAAGGGAGTGGAGATTAAATTTAATCAACTTCTTGTCTTCTCTGCCAAGATATTTGTCTGTAGAATATGGCTGTTAAATTTCCTGCTTTTTTAAAATTTTGGGGGGGAAAAGCTCAGCCTAGCAGTCGGCTGGAGTATGGTTATTCACTTTTGATTGACATCATGATAAAGTTGCGTGCTTTTTGGGCACAGTAGGCCCGGTGATTTTGAAGGATTCCAGGGGTACTGTATCAGGGCTGCTCAGTTACGGCGGCCCTGGAGGGAAGGGGGGCGGGGGCGGTCAGCAAAGATAAATACCAGCATCAGCAGTTTTACCTTGGATGGGTAACTCCCTCCCTGAGACTGTAGTGGTGCGCCATGGGCTGGGAAACCGTAATTGAGTAGCCCTGTACCTCTCGCATGCGCACATACCCACACATAATCTGTACGATGTTCCTGTAAAGGCGTAGGCCCGCTTGCTTTGACTGTCTAATCCCTTTATCCTGCTGACTGCAAACCAATGAGCTGTGAATTCCTACATGCTGTGTACAGGCACCAGACAACCAGCCTGCATGCCCCTGCAGCATATGGGGGAGAGACAATGTTGCGGGTCCATTTCAAAACTGTTATCTGTTTGGTTGATTCTGCCCATTTAAAAGCGCCTTTGCAATTGGCACAGTCTGACCTTTTACATCGTTTCATCACCTTGTACTTAAAGATTATCATGTAACTTAATTTTTTTCGAGGAACCAGAAATTGGTTAATGAATTATGTAGAGAATTGTGGGCATAGATATTTATCATCAGTTTTACTGAATGTGTCCAGGGTGCAGGTAATGCAGCAGCACTTTCTCTTTATACATTTTCAGTGTCACTGTCCTACAGAGAGATTTGCACTGATTGTCTTGAGTGTATGTGGGTGGGGGAGTGATGTGTATTGGGTAAATTGTGTTCATAGGTGACCTTGAGAGCATAGTAATGTTAAATATGTTGTGGGATATATTATTTGTGTGTGTGCATTTTACATAACATTTCCACCTTAAAGAAATTTATCTCTAGCTTTTTTTAGGGAACATTGAATAAATTTGATATATATAAAAAATACATTTGGCTGTTCTTATACTCAATGTTCTGTTTTTTGTTTTATTCTTTTAAAAAAAAAAAAGTTTTTTTCTTTACATGTCTTAAAATGAAAGGAAATTCACTGTGGCTTTTCAAGTTTAAGCCAGAAAGTCTGTGATGCACATATCCTGTGGAGCACTGCTGTTAACTCTTTCCAAGGATTATGTCCCAAGTCTGGGTACTGTATACATAGGTCAGTATAGCAGCCTGGGTAGCTAGGGCATGAGGCACTGTCATTGCACTGAAACCCCCTGTGTATTATTGGTTCAATCTTCTGAATTTCTTATGAAAAGTAATTTTTCTGTATTCTGTCTGTTCTGTCTACAGCTTGTCTTCTGGTGAGGGGGGGTTTAATGCCTTTTTCCACATCTTAAAGTTAGCGCAGCTTAAATTATTGTCTGTTCATTTTAGCCTTTCAGGTATGGTTGTGCACTGAATAAATCGCTACATTCCTCCACTTTGTCTTTAGGTGTTCATAGGTGATCTACTGGACTTCGAGATTGTAGTACTGGCCTTATATATTTAACTTATTTCTCAGAGATTTTAACTGCATATGGTGGTTGACAGCACACTAGCATTCTGAAACCGGGTCAGTCCCCTTTAACAGGGAGGATTAAAAAAAACAACAAAAAAAAAACCACATTGATCCATAGTCTTGAAACTGGATGTTTTGGATGAAGGGAATATAGCCTGCAGTGTGCTGGCTCTGTGACTGGGGGGGGGGGGCTCCACGGCATGTCAAGTCGTTTAGCCCAAAGGAAATCATTAAACATTTCTTTCTTTGATTCTTTCCAACTTTGCACTAGGTAAATGATGTCCTTGTCACCAGCTCAAAAAGGGCAAGGCAGTCAGGGTGCTGGGGAGGGGTCTGATTCTGCTCACTTCCATCATCCCTGTTGTATTTTCGTGTTTGGCTTTCCAGTTATTCCAGATTCAGCACATTAACACTTTAAGTTCCTCTGTCCTACTGTTGTTCTTGATGATATGGGCCTTTTTACCTGGTGTCTAAGTTGGAGTCGTGTCCAGGTATTGTGTGTACTGCTGGTTGAACCTCCTGTTGGCCAAGTCCTGTGTTCTGTGTTAAAACACACGACCGCAATCTTTCTCACTAATGTTAAATATGTAAGGATTCATAACTGTGCCGTCTCCCAGGCTGCATGTATATGTCTAGAATGGCCTCCTGAGGCTGTGACTGACATCTTCAAGGTGTGTATGTGTATATATCTATATATATATATAAATATAGACACAGCCCCCTTTCACCTGTTTTGTGCCCCTTGGCAGCCTTAGGTCGGCTCCCAGCCAATTCTGTTCTCTGCTATGCTCTTCAGCTGTTTTAAATACCCTGTTTTAATACAGTCTCATTTTGAAAACTTTGATACTTTAAGTCCAGAAATGTTCACATTCTGAAATTTATTACCATATTTCTCATGAATTGACTGATTCAGAGGGAAAACTTTGACTGTTAAATGTTTTCAAATTTGATTACTCCTGGATCTATTTTAAAATGTCAAATGAACCTGCTGGAATTTGCTGACCAGTCACTGTCATTTGGGCTTTACTGAACTTGTTCAGCTTGGCTGTGTTATCAGCGTGTTTTCCCTCCATGTTCAGTGCAGATGTATCCTGTAAAGTGAACGCAGCCAGATCAGGGTAACCTCAGCGGGCCTGACTGAACTTGCCACTTAACTTGTGGCATTGCTCCTGTATGGCACCTGAGACTTGGTAGTGTCCCCCTGTGTCCTGTGAACATTTTGCTCCTCTTATACTGGTTGTCTGTAGTAATTTCTGTTGAAATGTGATGTATTTCACTGCAGCTGTGTTGCCTGTGATTTTTAGCATAAATTTATCTGGGATTAAAGTAGCTATACCAACTCTTAGAGGTGACGTGTTCATGACGTATGTCTGCTCTTGTGCTGCTTACTGTGGGGAGGAACTAGGGTGTTTCAGTCTGAAGGTCACCGGTATCGTCCGAGGTTCAGCAGGCGTCTGCATGTTGTGTCTGCTTCCCTTCTCCTCCTCTGTGTGTAGATAGAAATATGTACATTGCTGGGCTGCACAAACCAAACTCCACCCTTCGTTTTGACACATTACAGCTGAAGGAAGAGGATTGGGACAGCAGGTCACGCCTGGGCGCTTCAGGAATAGACTGCTCTTGGCCGTTCTTCGTCTGCCTGCACGTGGATGGACTGGCTCGCAGTCTGCATGGCTGTGTGAGACAACTGTAGAGTAAAACTCTTACGAATGGTAAACAAAATGAGATGTTTTTTATGTTACTTTGTTTTTTTTTATTATAAAACCTGTGTGATTTAAAACGTACAGCTTTCCATAAGTTGCCTATTCTATAAAAATAAACCTTCGACAGCTTCAATGTGTATTGTCAGTAGAAATATTTTATAGCGCCCTCCCCCATTCCTGCTCATAGTGTTTTCTTTTGTTGATGTCTGTAAATGTCACAACTTTTGATTATTAAATATAGATTTAGTGTTGTAATAAAACATTTACTGGGACTGGTACTTGTTAATATGCTGCAATGTCTGTTCTTTGTATCCAACGCAACGCACCACCCATCTCTGTATGTAGAGTGTATGTTTGACGCATTTGTGTTGGGCTATGCAGTAGTGGCACCTGTAGCTATAATAAGTGGGGTGTCTGTGTTAAAAGCTGCTGTTTTGATGTCAGTGATGCCCACCTTTCCAGTTGTATGGCCTCAAGGGTTTTTAAAACAAATTAAGTGTTTTAAAATCTGTAACGGATCACCGTCTCTGGTACTGTACAATTAGTGATTATAGGTTAGACCAATGTGACTAGCTATAGATGCGCTTTGTATGTGGTCCCCTCCCCCTTGGGCGTATTGTATAGCTACCTGTCTACGCAATCTCTCTATTGCCCTGATTTTAATAGGAATTATCCGAGGGTAAATTTTGTTAGATGTCACCATTTTGAATGTGTGCCGTGGTGTAATCTTTGTTTGTTTCACCATATCTCTGGGTTGCCTTTAACACAGACCACATTAGGAACGTCACTGAAGATGTGAAACTGTTTTGTTTGGTTCCCCCCCCCCCCATTTTTAAGCTGCTGGATGTCTTATCCTTTTGGCCTGGTGACTATGACCTTGGCAATGACTCTGTTTCACCTGTGGTGCCGTCGTAAACTTTATAAGTTGCATTAGTTACTCGATTTAGCATTTTCCGTTTTAATGCCTCATGACATGGCCTTTGGAGTACGAGGCTGTTTAACAGTATGAACTGCTTACTTTTTTAATTCACTAACTTTTTTTTTTTCTTTCTTTTGAATGCTTCTCATGCTCTGTTAATAGGCAGGGTTAATGGTCTTTCTGAGCCTTTTACACAGACTGAGATTTTAGTGTTACACATTGGTCTATTGGTTGTTCCTCCCCCACCCAGTGGTTATTGCATTGGTCTTTGTACACAGGTGAACATTTCATTTGTGCATGTTGTAAACACTCCATGCATATTTTCCATGCTTATTCAAGTCCTCCTAACAGGGTTAATGTGTTTCTAATGCTGAGGTTACTCCTTAGTAATATCCCCCCCAGCCTGCTGAACTTTAGCTGGGAGCAAAATAACACTTAATCATTGTTTAATTGGAATTTTGAATCACTGCAGTGAATTGGTGTGACCCTAAGTAATTTGGCAAATAGACTTGGAACTATGCTTGGAACTGCGCTAGGTCAGCCTACCAGTGTGATTTGAAAGCACAACTCCCAGTCTCTTGGGGCCACGGTAATAGTGTTACCAATGTATTATTCGTGTGCCACAGTAACGTGACAAGAACTACTGCAGTTTTATTCCCTTCTTTCGTTGGTATAATTTTCACAGAGCAGATGTTTTTTTTTTTTTAACTATGGCCTTAACAGACAGGAGATGTGCTATCAAACATACATTTTTACAAATTGTTTGTCTTAATGGCTTGAAATGGCTTAAGTGGCTTGGTTGCACCACCATGCAGAGTTAAGTAATGTAGATTTTTCATAATCAGGTACAGCAAAAACCTGTCTTGTAAATATTCACAAGTGTAAAATTACTGCATTTCTCAGTTTGTTCCTTGTATATAGCTAATGTGGTTGTTTGTGGGAATTTCTTAACTAGGACTCTTGACATTGCTGATTTTGTTATACAAGGGGCTTTTTTTTAGAAATGTAGTACTCTGCATGGTATGCCCCATTACGAACGGTTTTTTGGCACTTTTTTAAAATTGTGCTGTCCTCTTGACTTTCCTCAATAAAACATATTTTGTTAGTTTTGACATCATAGTAACTATTTATGACAAGTTCATTTCTCCCTCAAGTGAGTGACTTAAATCCCTCAAGAACTGATGTTCTCACAAGTCGGTTAACATTTCATGTAAGATGGCTTTGTAAACAGTCATGATTATCCTTCCCAGCAGATCCTGCTCTGTACTGCACAGATCTGTAGTTGGGTGACTGTACATGCCTGCACCACAATATGAGCTATTTAACGTATTCTGTTGTGAACACTGTGGATTGCCACCCCAGAGTTAGTGATGGTAGGCATAAGACGTATTTTGATACAGGATAGTTTTAGAACTAGTTCTTATTGCTTATTTTTCGTTGTTTAATCAACTTATTTTGTTGGTAAACGTTTTTTTTTCTTTTCTTTTTTTCTTACTTTTGATAATTTAATCTTTAGCCGAATTTTCTGCCTCGGGTCCACATATTTTTGCCTCCTCAGGTGTCCTAACGTGCAGTAAAGGTAAGTTTTGCGTTGCAACAAGAGATGCATGGAAGAGAACCGAAGACCTACTGAGTTTGGAGTAGCCTTATTCAGGTAACGTGGACATGATTTTGCACAGAACTGTGTTCACGTTTACAATTTAAACGTACTCTACGTATCGATGAAGGACCGTCTGTGCCTTTGTTGGAAACGTTTTCATTATTGCCATATAGAATAAATAATTGAATGAAAGAATCGTATGTGCCACGCTTTAAACATTAGTTTAGCTGGAGTTTGACAGAAGTTATGTATGTAATTAAGCTCGGACAGTTTACGGTGCATTTCTAATAAACATAATGTTTTAGTCAGCGTTTCAATTAGGGTGCACTTAGAATATGTTCTTGAACAATATGCATTCCAAACTATAAAATCTATTGCATTGAATTTAAGCCGGCGTTAAAATGAAAAATTGTATTTTCAGTTGTTTATATTTAATAAATGTCTGACGTCAAAATGTTTTTAACCTCATTTATTATTCACGAAAAACTCAAAATATTGTGTTAGGAATTTTTTTTAAATGTTGGAACATCGATGCCACGTTAACCGCATGATAAAGCGGAGTTTGTCGGGCGAATTTTATTATCGATACACTATTACTTCGTGGCGACCCCTATTGTCGAAGGAATACTTTAGGCTAACGATTTATGTACAAGAATGTTTACAATTTAGTATGACACCTTTAAAGTCTTCTAAATTACCAATGTGAATTCTGTGGTATTCATCTGCGAAATGATATGCACGTAATAATACGCAAAGAAATGTATGAATTTAGCATATTTCCATCTCAGCCTGTTTTTAAAAGATGTTATTGACGCTATGGTTGATTGGATGGGTTTCGACATGGAGCGTGAAGCCGTACAGAAAATCCATTCATCTTCCAATCACTTAACCTGGTGAGGGTCGCACGTCATCACTGGGCACGGGGGGTTTTCACTGGTAATGATACTTATGGGAAATAGCAGACTAATTAGAAAATACAAACGTCGACCCTTTGTAATTTTTAAGTTTTTTTCAATAACGTACGATAATGAACTCCATATTAAGTATCTCAACTAGACAGCTTTGTAGGTTTCATATTGATATATTGATGACGTTTTCGTCACTGCTCTCTGTTAATTGTCTCTAGTCGCGGGTCTGGAAATGAGCGTCTGCCAGCCGGAGCGGGAGAATAAACCGTGTTAACGGACGGTAGGGGTTCTCCAATTAAAAACTGTAAGAAAGTTCAATTATGTAATGAGATGTTAATCGTATGTGGTTTTTGTAAACCAGGCATTATGTGATATTACTGAGGGGCATGACCCCCCTCCCCATCTCTACATTTGGAGGGACGTGTCCCCCCTAAATCTGCCCCTATGCAGCTATAGTTTTTAAAACTCCATATATCATTAAGGATTCGAATAGTGTTGCCAGCTCTCACGTATCGGGGGTGACACGCTTTCAGACTAACGGGAAATCTATATTATTCTATTATAAACTTAAAATCAGCTACATCAAGGGCGTTGGGGTAGTTCGCAAACCCAACAGACAAGGTGGTAAAACTGTTGCATATATAGGCTACATGTAATTGCATGTGCATGATTATGCAGACTTGAACTGAATATCTCTCGAACTGAATATCTCACTCCAGTTAAATGACCAAAGTTGACAGCTCTGTTAGAAAAAAAATGATGCTGAACCAGATTCTTAGGAGGTGCTTCCTATAATATGCAGTACGAAACAACATTTCGTTAACACGCGAATACGGTAATCAATTGTACCTTAAGTTCATATAAGTCGGGCGGCGGGAAAACCTATTGTTCACAGTATATGTAGCTTCCAATTTTCTCTTCAGCAGCCTGTTCATCATGTCACCATTATTCAGAAACTGCAAATCGACTAGCCAAAATATCACGCTTCTCAGTTGTATGTTTATGAAATACTGATTGCTAACCAGTTTCGAACAAGAAACTATAAACTGGGATATTTCTTAAAATGCGTATCATGAGAATACAACCTTCTGATAAAAGTGTATGCTGGTATTTTAAATTTTGCTTTATAGGTAGATGTCACAATGAAAGGCTCTGTCATACATGTATGTCTTTATTTTGTAAATTGAAATTATTATAATTAAACAATATCCTATATATTATCATCCACCCTTCAATCGTTTATTTAACAACTTGATCAGAATGCCGATCCACGTTAAACCACGTTGCTACGTTCTTCCAAATATTATGGATAGGTCCCTTTGAATTTCATTTCACCATGAAGTACTACAATCAAGGAATCATATATAGTGATGATATTACAATTAAAATACTTTCATGTATTTTGTACAATCCAACTGAGCCAAATAAGGTTTTATTTTAAAATCATTTTGTGCTGTTTGTGGGATGGTGATTTATTTAAAGAGAGAAACCTCCTTTTACCAATTTATTGTGAAAAGAGTTCTCAAAATAGAACATCGACTGAGACAAAGCACGTTTAACATAATTTGCCTCTTGCAATTGAAATGATAATTTTATGTACTAATATCCTGTAAGTAACATACGGTATTTGTGCACATTGTTTCTAGACTACTATATAAATAATAAAAGTAATCCGCTTTTTTCGATGGATCCATTTATTGGACAGCTACTCTTAGGGGGAATTAAATCTGCTGTAGTTAGGGTTGTAACAGATTAGTGTAAAATGAATGGTATCAACTGACAAAAGCCGACCGGGAGTACTATTCTAATTAATAACGGAAAACTATTTGGGTGCCAGATATTTATTTTCAAGATGACTTGAATATAATAGTCTACAATTTCTATTGAATAGACATTATTTTGTGATGGCCAGAATTAACCTTATATAGGCCTATGCTTAACCACTTTTAATTGACTGTCTCAAATGTACGCAACTTAAGTCACAAATGATCAGTTATTTAACGTTGACTTTAATTTTATTTGTTGATTTAAAGCGCACACATATTACACGTCCGCTCATGCACGACTGACCAAGTAATTCTCTGTGGGCCACGTGGGCGACTGTTGTAAAACTCGTAATTGTAATAAGATTACAAATTATAAAATTAAATAGGTCGGTTTAAACTTAAATACGTTTCATATTGTTTCACGTATTTAGCCACTTACCAGAGGTAAATTGCAGGGTTATTTGATCCTGTTTTCAGCCCACTGAGACAAAAGCCGTTGCCTGGAACTATGCAGCGCTTTCTGTTTTCAAGTCGGAAGTTTTTTTGGGGGGAACTTCCGGGGAACATCTGATGGTTTATTTACTGAATAAAAATGCTTTCTTAATTTAATGGCAGCTGTTTTTGATATTTTCGAAGGCAGTGGTATTAAGGTCTGCGTGTAAGCAGACGAAATACGTCTGATTATAAGATTTCTTCACTATACTATGTTTAAGAGAATGGCTGAATTTGGTCCAGATTCCGGGGGGAGAGTGAAGGTAACGACATTTTGCCTTTATTTCAAATTAATCTTTTGAAAATTAGAGTTATGAAAATCAAGTACAATACGTTTTGTGTTTTTGGGAATCCGTATGGATTGATCAGAGGTTTGTATAACAACTTAAAATGCAGCATAGTTTGAGATCGTAATGATACAGGAGAACTGCTTAACATGCTTTAACTGTGAGTTGCGATTATACGCTCATTCTTCGGAAAACATGTTAAAGTTCGAGTTTATTTATTTATGTACCAGTGTCTTTCACAGTTGCCCGTGTATAGTGTTATTTACGTTTATCATGTTGGATCGCGTTGAATTACAATTATAACTGCTTAAAAGCTGGATATTTTACTTAATCGGTAGCAGTCAGAAATAAGAGCAGTATTTATTAAATTGTCATGTTAAATTGGGAAACATGCCAGAAACAGCGACTTTATTTACTGTTGTGTTATTACAACTAAATCCTTGTATTAAATTTGTTTGTTCTTCACAAGTGGCAGTACCTACTGACCTTGCTTTGCAAAATATGATTGTCATAAAACACAAACGATAGTGTTAGGGTAAACTCTTAGATGATTGTTAAACGAGCTTAAATTCTTTCTCTCAGGGAGTAACAATTGTGAAGCCGATAGTGTTTGGTAATGTTGCGCGATATTTTGGGAAGAAAAGAGAGGAGGACGGGCACACTCATCAGTGGACAGTCTACGTGAAACCCTACAGAAATGAGGTACGATAGGGGCCTGTGACTCAGATGTATGCTGCTGTATATATGAATGTATCTATCTGGAGAGTGTAACACTATTCTTTCTGCTTTACAACAAAACATTGACTAAATTCCTTCTTTCACAGCTTCATTGATTGACATCTTTGATTTTCACTGCAGGACATGTCTGCTTATGTAAAGAAGATCCAATTCAAACTTCATGAAAGTTACGGAAACCCCTTAAGAGGTGAGGTAGCCTGCCTTTCTTGCTCACAGCAGCACTGTACTCTTAAATTGTACATACTACTTACCTGTTACATTCAGTGGCAACTGAAGTAGTCAGGTAATTGCTAGGGAGGCGGAGACATCTCGATATCTTGATTGCTACCACCCATTAAGGCTGCCTTATAGAAAATGGCATTAATATTCTTTAAGGAATTAAGCTCAGCACTACCAGCTTAAAATGTATGTTGGCATTGCAGTTGTCACAAAACCACCGTACGAGATCACAGAAACCGGCTGGGGAGAGTTTGAAATTATTATCAAGATATTCTTCATTGATCCCAATGAAAGACCGGTCAGTGCCTGTTTTAATGTGTAATATCTATTTGAAATTTCTATTGATTTCTGTTTTTTTTTTTTTTTTGTTTTTTTGTTTTGTTTTTGTTGAAGTACAACCTTGTGTGGACCAGTTTTCCTTACTAAGCTGGATCGTAATAGATCTTTAATGGGCCTCTTCCAGGTCACCCTGTATCACCTGTTGAAGCTTTTCCAGTCTGACTCCAGTGCCATGCCAAAGAAGACAGTGGTGTCTGAGTTCTATGATGAGATGGTGAGCTTCTGCACTGCCTTTGGTCCTATTGAGTAGCAGGACTTTAGCTCAACTCCAAAATGGCTGGAACCATTGCATGCTTCTATTTTTATATATATATATATATTTTTATATATATATCTCACACACACACACACACACACACACACACACACACTCACACAGTGGTACCTCAGTTCTCGAACTCATTAGAACTCGAATTTCTTAAAAGTAGAACCACACATATATATATATATGTATGTATGTATGTATGTATGTATGTATGTATATGTATGTGTGTGTGTGCGTGTATGTGTGTGTATATATATGTGTGTGTGTATGTATATGTGTGTGTGTGTGTGTATATATATATATATTACACATACACACATTTATTTAGTAGACTTTTTTTTTTTTTCTTCTTTTCCTATTCGTATTTCTGAGAAAGTGGGGTCAATCAGCCCCTGGAGCAATTGGGGGCTAAGGGCCTCGCTCAGGGGCCATCAGAGCCCAAAGCCATACATCACCCCCAATTCCTCAACATCTGTCTTGAACTTGTGGAAGCATTATATGGCATGGAGGGATTTTGTGATCGTATTTGCGCTTAATCATAACATTAATTTAGACCTATGCTTAATATACGGTCGCGACTGAGCTGACATGGTAAAAATTGGGTTCTGATGCAAAAAAGATTGAGAACCACTGGTTTAAGAACCATAAACAATTTTATATAGGCCTAGCAAACATTAAACTTACCTAATGAGATAGGTGGGAACAATGCTTGGAGCAAAACAAGTCCCTTCGGGGTTTAATTTTGGAGACGGCCTCCCAAAGATCGTCCTCCAAGTTTAGTCATTTTTCAATATGCATTGGCACCGAGAATGTTTCTTCACATAAGTAGAGAGATCCAAACTAGATTCCAGCGCACTTTGTTCAAAATGGATGATCAAGTATTCAATGAACGAATCCATACAGCAACCAAGATCATTTTAATTAGTAAAAACATTTCAATGGGAATTAAAATATTTTTGTAGTCTGTGGTATCTCATATTCAATTGTCATAATTAATTTTCTGTGGTTTTAAAAAAATGACTTTGGTAATTGCATTAAGATGAAAATCACCTGGACTAAGTATAAAAATAAATGACCATTTTATTTATTACCAAGCTTGCATCCCATGCGTAAATGATTCAAGCACAACATTGTTTGGCAGCACGCATTGTACAGCACTAAAGTAACCTGAGAGTAAATGGGTACTATCTCTAATTTTTATCCCATTTTTATTTTGGTTACTTGTAGTTGCATGATTTAATGGGTATTATAATGAAATCTTATCTTTTGTGAATTGTTTATTTTGGACGGTTGGTATTTATCGAAGCATGCTGAATTTTTATGCATTCCTTATTGATTGGCAAAATGCACTATATTTTGATGGGGAAAATGCAACACTGATTTTATTTATTAAGAAAACCACTTGTTTGATGTAGGTTCTACTGGGGTATTTTAAAATTTTGTTCACATGATTTGGAAATCATCTTATGACCCCCCCCCCCCCCTCCACTATTGCAACCATTACTCTCAAGTTAAGAGTTATTTTGTGTTGACAGATTTTCCAGGATCCCACTGCTATGATGCAACAGCTGCTGACCACATCCAGACAGCTGACATTAGGTGCCTACAAGCATGAGACAGAGTGTGAGTTGCACCACTTAATTGTGACTTTCAGAACAAACTGCACCTACCTGAAATCCTTGTCAAGCCGTTGGCTTCAGCCAGGACTCGATTGTGTTTGTGCGTGAATAGTGAGCAAGTTTGTGCGCGGCTGAGGGGGCTGTGCCTTTGCTCATCACCCTTTATATCTAAGATGGGCCGTGCCCATTTTCTTCATAATGGATAAAAGGTACAAACTTTTAGGTGGTATTTCCAGTTGCTGAGCTGGAGCTGAGGACGCGTGAGAAGCTGGAATCTGCAAAGAAGAAGACAAGCCAGGAGATAACGGAGCTGAAGGAGAAGCTGAAGGCTAGCCGAGAGACCATCAACTTCCTGAAGAGTGAAATTCGCAAGCTGGAGGAGGAGGATCAGATCAAAGACCACTGACGTGCTGGGACCGGCCCCCATCCTGTGCTTCAGTCTGTCCTACACACTGTCCAATAACATTCTCCAGAAGATTAACACCCAGATTCTCATCATAAGCCTGTCTGCTGTTTCTTCCTTCCTCCTCACTGGCTCATGATCTTTACAAAGGTTCACACTTGTATTGTCATCATATGTACTGAAAGTAATATCTTGGTTGCATTTTCCAAGTGTAAAGCTGATTAGGTTTTTTTTTTCTTTGCTGTTAATTGAAATTACCTTCTCCAGGTCTTATGCAGACCAGGTAATGATATAGCAAGCTTTTGTATAAGTACTTCTACTAGATTGTAAGCAGCATATTTTAATGCAGCTTTTATGCTAAATGTCCTGTTAACGTTACTGTTGTTTCAACCATTAGTAAGGCAGCTACTCCTTGATTAATAAAAATGGAAATTGTTAATATTTGTGGTCTGTCTGATATTTGGCACTTAGGACATATAAGCCAAATTGCAGGTATGTGCAACAAGTGACATTTGGAGCAAAAGTAGATTTGGATACATAAAATAATGGCTTTATCAGCTGATATTCACTAGCAAATATCATCTCTGTATCTTAGAGCAGTGTCATCTACCCTGCTTCTATCCAGTTAGCAAACTCTAAAATATTCGCAGTGCAACCTTAAGATAATGTAGCATCTTGAATTACTGGATTACACCAGATAATAATCATGGGATTGTTGTCAACTGTAAGGTTATGTTAAAGATGGAAAAATGTTAATAGCTTCTGGTGTTTCCATCCCTGTGTAGAATGTAGGACTTATTCATTGCTACAACAAGCAGAGCAACATAATTTCTGATCTTCCAGGATGACTAACTTTTGGCCCCAGACACGTGGACAAAGACATCGTTTTTCCGTGTTCCTCTCGAGGCTCTAAAGCTGAACTCTGTGGATTCTGGGGAAAGCTGAAATTCAATATGTGTGCTCTAGAGAAGTGTTTTCAATATCATACAATGAATATTTCCCTGGAAGGTAGATAGATATCTATGTTCCAGGACCTTTACAGTCAGTAACCTTTACATATCTTCTTGATAGATTAACTTGCATTATGTGGTATGTGCTTTATTTGTACAATGATTTAATTGCTTTAGTAAATTATGTGCTACAATAAGACAATACAGAAGCATCATTTTATAAGATAGACCGAACAATAAGTGACCAGTATAATCGCCAAGGGGTAGCAGGGTAAAATAAAAATGTAAAAATATTAATTATATGCAGATGTCATGCAGTAGACATTGAGCAGTTATGATGATACTGACCTGGTAAAAAGAATCATAAATCTAACACAATAAATGCAAACAAATGGAGTTCCTGGGAATGTATACTATTTGAACAAAAATATTGGAACACCTGGCCATTACACCCACAGGAACTTTTATGACATCCCTTTCTAAATCCATAGGCATCAATATGGAGTTGGTCCCTCCTTTGCAGCTATAACTGCTGCAATTCTTCTGGGAAGGCTTTCCACAAGATGTTGGAGCGTGTCTGGGAAATTTTGTCCATTCATCTAGGAGAGCATTTGTGAGGTCAGGCACTGTTAGACGTGAAGGCCTGGCTCACAATCTCCATTCTAGTTCAACCCACAAGTTTTCAGTTGGGTTGAGGTCAGGGCTCTGATTGGACCAGTCAAGTTCTTCCACACCAAACTCACCCAACTATATATTTATGGACCTTGCTTTGTGCACTGGAGCACAGTCATGGTGGAACAGAAAAGGTCTTCCCCAAACTGTTCCTACAAAGCTGGAAGCATAGAATTGTCCAAAATGTCTTGGTTTTTTGAAGCAGTTTGTATTCCCTTCGTTGTAAATAAGGAACCCCTGGAAAAAAAACCCATACCATTATTCCTCCTCCACCAAATTTTCCAGTTGGCCCAGTGCAGTCAGGCAGGTAGCGTTCTCCTCTGCCAATCTCAGACTCATCCATCAGACTGCCAGGTAGAGAAGCACGATTCTTCACTCCACAGAACATGTTTCCACTGCTCCAGAGTCCAGTGGCAGTATGCTTTATACCAGTCCATCTGACGCTATTTTATTGTGAGGTTTGCATGCAATTGCTTGCCCATGGGAGCCCAGTCTATAGGACTCCTGGCATACAGTTTTCCTGCTGGGGTTAATTCCAGAGAAAGTTTGGAACACTGCAGTTATTGAGTCAACAGAGCTTTGGCGACTTTTATACATTATGCGCCTCAGCACTTGATGATCCTGCTCTGTTACTTTACGCGGTCTGCCACTTCATGGCTGAGTTACAGTTTTATCTAAACATTTACACTTTGAAATAACACCACATGCAGTTGACCATGGAATATCTAGCACGGAAGAAATTTCACGAACCGTCTTATTGCAAAGGTGGCATCCTATGTACCATGCTTGAATTCACTGGGTTCTTCAAAATGACCAATTCTTTTACAATTATTTGTAAACGAGACTGTATTGCTAGGTGTCGGTGCTTGATTTTATAGCCCTGTGGAAATGATCTGAAAAAAATACCTGGGGTGTTTCTCAAAACCAAGAACGCAGAGATCGTACTTGTGAGCTTGGCAAGACCGGTCTTGCTAACTTGCCTCACATGAATGAACTAGGGGTACAATGAATCATAGGATTGATCTCTTTTGGCTAGGATGCAACTGATGTATCCTTGATATCTGAGGCGGGGGAAGAACGACGTACAGCGATTTTTACCTATACCTCTGTACTTCTGTTCATGAATACTGGAACTGGACTTCGGCAATGGAAGATTAATGAAAGATCCGAATGCGTAAATCGGGTACACGAGAACACAAGTACAGTAATGTCTGTGGTCACCCGTAATTGAAAGTAATTCAGAATTTTGTATAACTTGCGAGTTATCACTAGGGGGCGGTAAACTCTCTAATACAAACGAGCATAGTTCAGTGCTGTTCTATATTTGAAGCTAAACTTAAAATGTAGTAAAATAAGAAATTAAGTTATTAATATAAATTAAGTTATAAGTAAATGTATTAGCCCTAGTGCCAACCATAGCATACCAAGCATTTACATTTTCTGCCATCTTCTGCATCGTTTACCGAAGCACGGAAACTGCTCCAAAACCACAAGACGTGATACATGAGTATTTTATGTCCAATGTATATCGTATTATAATGTATTTTATTTGCAGGCTATTTTCATTTCTTTGGCCTATTGCTTATGTTAGGTAAACTCATTGCTTCATGTACACTAGTATTAGCTTTTTATTTGCTAAACAACACAGCACCATGGCTTCGTGGCTATTACTGTGATCTTTCAAGGTTGGAGGTTAAGTTATGTGTTTAGATTGTGCAGGTTCTTCATGTGTCCGCGTGCCTTTCATCTGGCTACTCCAGTTAACTTTCCTTGGACTGTGGGACTGTACAACACAAAGGAAATATGCAAACTCCACATATGTAAATATATCTCTACATTGCCCCCAGGTATGTTCTGTGTTTGACCTGCAATAGACTGACTGCCTCATACCCAGGGTGCCCCCTGCCTTATGCTTCCTGGAATAGGGTTCTCAATCCTGTTCCTGGCCAAACCCCCATACTGCTTTCAACCAGCAATTATTATCCTATTAAGGACCATATAAGCCCGATAAAAAGTAGGGTTGGAATGAAAACATCCTGGCGGCCGGCAGGGGCGCCGCCAGGAACAGGATTGAGAACCACTGCTCTAAGCACTCATGAACAATGTGTCGACACATATGTTAAATAGAAAACTTAGAATGCTGTATGTAAGAATACTGTCAGTATAAGCGGTTTCAGAAAATTGATGGATGGACGTTTTCTCTTATTTGCCAGCGTTGTGCTGTGAAAAACCCATGCGGTAGAATTTAAAGCTTTATACCTGTTTGTATTGTGTATCACCTTAAAACTGTATTAATCATAAACTGTTCAGGCAAAAGGCATTTACGCGCACACACAAACGCATACATAGGTTTGTAATTAGGCTATATATTTGTGGGGACTCTATTTCTATGGGGAAAACTCTAATTCCAACATGATGACTTTAACCACTACCCAGCCCTAACCTTAACCATAAGTAACCAAACAAAATACGAAACTTTTGGCATTTTTAGTTTTTTAATTGTATTCACAGATCTTTCTGGGACCTGGAAATGGACCCCACAACATCTAAATAACAGGTTTGTATTTAATACATTGTCATGTAAACATAATGCACACACACACACACACCGAATCCTGTCCATTCATTCAGTCACAGCTGTATTTCTTATGTGAACTGTTAGTCCTTACCCCACAGGAAAAATCATAAATTGAACTGCTATATTTAATGCTGGAGATTATTTTTCTATTTAGAAATACACATCGGTATTGACACACAGCAAATGAAACTTGCAGCCCATTGTCTTGTGTGTTTATTATATACCACAGAACGAATATTTGACCCATAAGTATTTAAATGGTAATTTCAGTAGCTTTAACGCAAAGCAAGACACTGTAGGGGAGCAGTATTGTTGACTTGAATGGAGGAAGGGGAGTTGTGTGGGGCTCAGTCTTGACTATTAATCATATTTTCCACAATACCACTTCCAATGTACCCCGGATAATAGGCGTTGCATTTAGACTCGCGAAAAAAATAAGCGATGCATTATGACGTATAGAAAGCCTTTCATTATTTAGGCAGTTAAAAATGTTGTCACTATAGTATTCCAATTTAGTATACTTTATTTACCATGAACGATGGTATTAAAACATTTGTAAACCATTTTAATAAACGGTAATGTATTTAATTTTACTATTAGGAACAAAGTCACCCTGTGGAATTCAATAACCTCGGCGATACAATAAAGAACGGTAGCCAATGACATTGCTGTTCTAAATTCACGATTTTGAAACACACACAGCTGCAAATTAAAAAAAGAAAATGTTTCTTGTAACTGTTATTGGTAAAGCTCATCATGCACTCGGTCTACTTCAGGGATCGGCAGGAATAGAGAAAAGCATGCCGATGTTTTTTTAAAGGAGCCGCGCGACCCGGATGCAGTTTCGCGCGTGCCCCGAGACTCCAGAACGAGGCCCGGCACTCCGAAGCTACGGCGTAACCCAGCAGGGCGAGTACGGGGGGAGAGAAACGGCTCTGCCGCTTTTGGTCAATATTTACAAACATTAATGTGGATTTTACTCGAACTGTGAAGCTCAAACCGCCATCTCGGAGTTCCTGACATGTTAAATCGTTCCCAGAGACTGGAATTTATCGTAATTAGAAGTTTGACGACTGTTATTTTGGCGCTCCGGGATAGAGGGTGAAGGAGAGAGAAAGTGAGACGGAGTTCGGTTTGGACTTCTCTCTCTTTTTCTGAGTGAGGAGAAGGGATTTAATAAGTGGCGAAAACGGGGCAAAAACACGGCTTCCACGGCCGTTTTTCCCTCGCGACTTGACCAC